TAAACTAAAGAAAAGGGGGATTGTTCCTGCTGGTAATTCTCCTTCAAAAAACTCAGGATAGTCCTTAGTCTGAAACCAAGACCACCTTTCTGCCCTCTTTGCCCTGCAGGTTTCTTTCACTAGATAACAAATACTCTCTGTAAGGATCACCCCTCACAAGTGTCTGGGTCCCTCACACTTTTTAGAGGCAGATATGAGTTCTAGGCAGCACTGAAAGTCCCCAAAAGGTCATTTTGATTCCACTCCCTGTCTCCACCCTCTGCAATGGACCAAGGGGAACCTGTTTTCACTCTGTATCTGAGTTGCAAAGGCAGATGCAATGACAGTAAAGGGGAAAACATGCAGAGCTGCATCACAAACCAGTTCATCAGCAAACAGAGCACGCCTGCCTTACAAATTTGCCTGCAGCTCCTGTCTGCTGTGTTATTTTTAAACTGCCTGCAGGTTGCAGATTTTTCAGTGGTCCTTCTCCTGCCAGTGTACACAAAGGATTTAGCAAGGCACAAGTTTCATTACCATGAATTTAAGTTACCAAAATTCCCAGCACATTAAAATTCAGCATCCTTCATCTTCCCACAAAGTTCTTGCTGCATTTGTGTAGTCACAAGAGGACATCCCATGCCTCTTACAGCCTCCCTCTGTGGCCAAGGTCAGTGTAACTCAGCTCTGCATCCCTGATGTTCCCAACTGCCATCCATCAGCCTGCAGTTGCTGTCATCAGCAACCCAGGGATCAAGCTACAGACTCTTTGGCTCATCATGGAAACCCCAAGAAGATGGACCCAACTCACTGAACCCAGTGCTCAATTTAACAGCACTGCCATGTCATCTCAGCCCCAGCTGCTGTACAAATGAGGGCTGTGGGCAGGCACAGGGCACTTTTCCATCACACACCCAGGACACAACTCACAGAACTCGCAGCAAACCTGCCCCACTCCTGGAATAAGAGTCAGGATTTGACACGTGGGAGAGTTTCTATGTGCAGAATATCTTCACAACCATCACACAAATCCTACAGGGAAAGGACTAACAGGAAGAGTGGTCTATTTATGGCACCACGGTATTTTAAAGAAGAAAGCAAGGGGGTGTTTTTCAGAAACACCAATTGCCACAATTGCTGCTGATGTGAACAGAAGCTGCTCAGACTTTCTGAGGGGTCAGACCCTGCAGCCAAATGTAATGAATATTATGGTTTGTTTGCTTCTTCTCTGTTGCCTGGTTGATCCTGCAGCCCAGGGCTGCTCTGCAGAGCAGGACCCGTCAGTTTGGAGCCTTTCCCCTCATCTGATTTGGGAGTCTCAGACATTAAATCATTCACACTTGGCCACTGTTAGGAGTTCTAGAAATACTCCAGCTGGGAGAAGCACTTGCCCAGCATCATCAGAGGGGCACAGCCACACTCACTTGCACCCCTTTGACACACATGGAGCAGAGGACAAGTGTGTGATATCCGAGGGCTTTGTTTTGGAGCTGGAGCTCCAGCACAGCAGCCTGTGCCCTCAGTGGGGCACAGCAGAGAATTTAAAGTAATTTTGATGTAAACAGCCAATAAGCTTCAGTCAGAGCACTCAGCTCCCCACAGGGCTGACCATGGGACCAACTGGTCTGTCTTGGCAGTGAGGACACTGAGGGCAGTGAGGACAGTCAGGTCCCTGGGCTGAGGGTTAATCTTGTGCTCACTGGCCCCTGACAACAACCGCCCCTCAACCTTCCCCATTACACAGGACTTAAGCTGTTGCTCCTTTCCCCTGCTGGTTTGGAGAGTCAGGGGTTGGCTCTCGGCTGTTTATATTTTGCAGACATCCTCTGTAATTGCATGGCCTGGCCCCAGGCTCTCAGGCTCTGGGAGGAATAACCACATTATTCCACAGAACAGTTAGCATAATTAAAATATTGACTGCAGATTAAAAAAATGTGCTGAATATTTCACAGAGTGGTTGGAGGGTTGGCAAGCCTTGGCAGCTTGTTGGCTGCAGGAGCTGGCTGATATTTAGGCACTCCTTCTCCTTCAGCATTCACTGCTGTACGTGGGAACTGCTTTTTGTGCTGTCAACTTCTTATCTCCCAGGCAGCCAACCCACAACCAGGAAAAGATGAACTGACTGGAAATGAGGTGCTCCAAGGCTTTCTTGTGATTCTTATTGCCAGTGAGACCATTTCCTTGTTATTTCTGATTTCAGGACATCTGTCTTGCTGTGTCTCTATCTATTTATATTTGTGTCCATCTCTCCAAATGCAAAGTATAGGAACTGCATATGGTGAGAATGTACCAGGTGATAAATCCATTTGCTTAAGAACTGTTTGTACCATAAGAGAAGCATTAATAAAGTTAAAAAGCCCACAAAAACCTCCATTGGAACATTTGGTTTAGTTTCTATTCCTTCTTAGACATTTGATTTCTATCTGTGTTTCCTCTGTTATCCAAGTCTAAGGCACAAAATCCTTACATTTCCACAGCCAAGAGGGCAGAAGGGGGTGGAAGAAACCCAACTGGCAGGGCTGGAAAAACCAAAGAAAGACTGATTGCTATAGGGCATATATGTTGAAGTTTATATTTAAATGTTTGATGTCTTTGCAATCTCTCCCCATTCTCTAATTTTTGTGGGAATATCTGGGATGATAAGCATTGCTAAAGACACACAGGTTTGGGTTTCAAGGACTTCTTTGTCTTTGTACATCCCCTATCTGGCAAAAAGGTGAAATGATCTCATGCTGCCAGTGTTAAACAAAACATGTGGATGATGTCTAAAGCGCTTTGCAGACACCTACATCCTGAACAGAGTGCTGTAACTTGCCAAGGTACTCCTTTAAATCAGCTTCTTATTTAATCTTCACTTACATGCTTGAGAAACCCCTGGAATGGAGGAGCAGCAGGGCAGTCTCACAGGCAAGGACCAGGGAGAGCTGAGCTGAGCCTGTCCTGCTCCTCTGCAGCTTCCAGGGACAAGGCTGTGATTTCCAGTCTGATCTACAGCTCTTTTGAGATGAGTTAATTCTGTGAACATTTCTATTCCCACTCAAGAGATGTCACAAGAAATGGTCAAATGCTATTTTCTGAGGCTTCTATCACAGCTTTAAAGTGATCATAATAGCATATTAATAGGAGATCTACTCAGCCATTTTCCATTCTCATTGCCATTGCTGTAATCAAGAGTAGCTCTACTGCTTCAAAGCTTATTTCTATGATACTTCTCATGTTTGAATGTGCTGTTAGGAAAGGAGAAGGATATCTTGGCACTCCAGCTGTGTTCTGTAGGCTACTGCCTTTCTTCTGGGCTATTTTCTGCTCTCAACTTAATAGTGACCTCCCAACTGTAAATGATAAATCTCACCTTGGGTAGACACCATACTTTCAAAGGCAAAAATGTATTTTTATGTACGTTTTCAATATTTCGTAAATTAAACCCCAAGATAAACTCAGTGGGATGAGAGAAAAGGTGCTCTAAATTCAGTACAAAAAAGAGAATTTCACTGGGCAGGCACGATGTGTGTGTGGGGAACTGTTACAGCTTTTCTCTGCTCTCATAGTTCACGTGGCCAAGATTTTAGTTTGTCTCCACTGAATGATTCATCTCTATTACCAGTATTTTCAAAATTAAATGGAAGAGGAGGAATGTGTTCATTCCCCTGCTGTGTTTAATAATCTTCCAAAAATTGTTTCCTGTTTACTTGGAAATCCCCACCTCCATGCTGTGATTTAGACATTTTCACCCTGTTAACTCAAAAGCAAAGCCTAGAAGATGCTGTAGAGTTTTTCTCTTGCAGTCATAAAGCAATTTGTGATAAGTGTTGATGTTCCAGGGGAAAATTACTTGGAAATGTACATAAGTTCACAGCTTCACGTTGCTCATTTAAATCATAACTGATTGTTGAAAAGAAAATACAAATTGTTGTTAGTTTTTACTCATGTAATTTATCTGATGGGAGCTTCTCTTTCAACAATTACTGTGTTGGTGCTCAGTATAGACATCAATAACCCCATTTATGGGGCTGTGCTGGTTTCCTCCATGGTACTGGTTAGCACACAACTCTGAATACTCTGTGTGCATTGTTTCATGCAAGGCTTGTCTATAAGCAAAAATTACAGTGTATTTTCAAGACAAAATATTAAAAATACCTAAATTGATTTTCCAGCTGAAGCATTATCTCTAAATTGCTGTGGCTTGGCTGGACAAAGGGAAAGAATTTTTCCCTTAGCTTCCTCAAGGAATAAATTTTCACCAAAGTTCTAAGATTTTACTTATGTAGCACATATCAAACAAACTATTCTTATATAAAAGATTTGCATTAGCTCACAAAAGTCAGTGTGTTCTGTGTTAGTTTATGTGAAGAGTTCATTTAAAAGGCAGCAATATCCTGTGGCCTGAGAACAGAACTGGAAGCTGGGAATTCCAAAGGGACCTGAGCTTTTTCACACTTCCTCTCAGCTTTTCATAAAGGTCTGCATTTTTGTAAATGAACATTCCATTTCTCTGATTAACTGGAGGCCACATGGGCCTGATTTACAGATGTGTTAAATTCCTCCTGCTCCCACTAAAGCCACGGGGAGCTCTCAGCTCTCCAGGTTTCCAAAGGCTGTGATGCAGCTCCTGGGGGGGAGAGTGACACCATTGCCTTGGTGGGTACCAAGCATGGGCAAAGGTAGGGAAGGGATGGGAAAAGCATAAGGTGTACAAATTCAGCACATCCCCCTCTCTCTGGGCCTGGTAGCCCTGATGAACCTATGAGGGATGGCAGGAATGGAGATACTGAGATATTTGGCATCCAGACAGATTCTGTGCAAGGGTAAAGAGAGCAGCTGGTAGGAAGCTCTGGGCTGGCACAGAGAGGTTGGACACCTCTGGCTGGTCTCCCTCAGCCTGGCCACTGGCTCCAGCAGTGCAGAGAGTTCCTTGCACTGCTTATCTGGGTGACAAGACTCTGCTTTTTATCTGGTGAGGCTCCACCTGCCTGCCCCTGGTAACTCAGTGTCCAACAGCCCTCTCTCCTCTTCCCTCCCAGATGAGATGGAGCAATCCCCGGCAGTGCGCTCGGACTACTTGGTCTCAGGGATTCGAACTCCACCAGTGAGGAGGAACAGCAAACTGGCAACACTGGGCAGGATCTTCAAACCATGGAAGTGGAGGAAAAAGAAAAACGAGAAGCTAAAGCAGACGTCTGCAGGTAGGTTGGGAACAAGAGAGGGATGTGCACTGAGCAAAGCTTAGCTGGGTGAAACTTGCTTACATAGGACATGGTAAAGGTGACCTGATCTAAACCCAATTCAGAGATTTCAGCATTCAACAGGTTAATAACATGTAGGGCTACAAAGAGCCCATATGTGCTGACTTTCTATATAATACAGTAGATTACATTTAGAAGAACAGGTCAAAACATGAGAGTGAAGCACAAGGCTTGCCACAGACTGCTTTCCATGGGCTCTGCCTTCTCCAAATAGGCTACACATTTATGGCCCCAAATACCATCACCCCTTTTATTTGGGGTGAAGATTATACAGGTCACAGTAACATTATGAGAAGTGACAGGAGGGAGCATGTGAAAAACCTTCCCTCCAGCAACTGTCCCTGGGGGGAAGGAGCCCAGCACACAGCACAGCATGTGCCTGCTGGTCTCCAGGGATGTCCCAGGAGATCAGTAAGGAGACAAACTCACTTGCCTTTTCCTAACACAGGATGGTGCAGTTCCCTCCACTTGCTCTGATATCCTGTGGGATATTCCTGAGGCAGCTCTAAGGTGCTGTGTTAAACAGCATGAAGGCTCCGATATCCCTGTTCCTCTGCACTCAGTGTGATCCAACAGCAGGTCACATCATAAACCTCAGCTCTACACAGGGGTCATTTTACAGCTGGTTGAACAAAGGAAAAGGCACAAACAGGCTGAGCAGTCCATGCTCCCCAAAACAAAATCCTGGCAGTTCTTTCCAAGCACGCAGTAGCTGAGACTAGAGGGAATTCCCATATTGCATCTTTTTCACTCCGTTATATGAGTACTCTGTTCTTAACTGGAGCTGTGTTGTGCTATTACTTTGTGCAGTGCTGGAGAAGAAGATGACAGCACGGCAAGGCCGGGATGAGCTCATTAAGAAAGGCCTTCTGGAGATGATGGAACAAGGTAAGGAAAAATTCCTAACCTTTTTTGTCAGAGGTTCTGTCAGAACACATGGGAAACACATAATTGCAAAAGCAGAAACCTAACAAGCAAGTGAATAAAAAGGAAAACCTTCAATCCAAACAGAGAGGAAAACTCTGTGTCTGAATTAAGACTTCTCTTTCTTCAAACTCCTCCCTGCTGCAATCAATCCATGTAGTTTAATTTTGATGCTTTACCATCTTGAGTGCAGCTCCATCTTCACTTGATTTATACATGGTGCAGTCTGAGCTGGTACGTATATTTTATGTAATTGCTCTAAAGCCAGTTAAATCCTACTGCCAAGAAAGGCAGCTAAAGCTGGATAAATACAAACTTCAACACACAGATGCAGTCAGCTAACATGTACAACCCAGGGGTGCAAATCCCATCTAATGATACTAATCTGATGTTTTCAGCTGTCTTCCCAGTAAACCAAGTTTGTGACAAAACACGTCACTATTGCTCCTGCTTTTCATTCACATGGAAAAGTGAAGCTTTTGGGAGTGTCATTTTAAAGCTTCCCTGAGTCCAAACCAGCAGAATTTGTGGAAGGAAAGATGATAAAGTGTGAGAAACATGCACAAAGGACCATGGTTCTTGTGCAGCCCTGCTCCAAAGCCCTGACAGATGCTCAAGGGAGAGAGAGATCTGGGTGACTATTCTGTGAGATCAAGTGAGCTCCCAGTGTTACAACATCCCAATTGCCATTTCCACCTAAACCGAGATGAAAACCATAAATCCATCTTTACTTTGAAAACTTTATAGCAGAAAGTCCTGAAGAAAGACTGGTCTTTTGAGTTTGACCAATCTCAGAGGTAGAAGTTCTGTTCTTTAAAAACAATAATTGAGTTTCTTCGTGTAACACAAATGCCATGTCTATAAACAGCCTGTGGGACAATAGTCAGTGATGCCCTGCTGGAGTGTAACCGAGTGAATGAAGAGTCAGAAAAAAAGAATTTTAATCAGGGCTTTTTTTTTTTTTCATTGCAGTAAAGCAATTTTCATGTTATTTTATTTGATATATTTTAAGATGAGTTTATGTTCAAGTCAAAAAAATAATCTATCAAACCATCAGCTTATTCTAAAATGGAAGTTCTTAGAAAGCTCATTTTTAGTTCTTGTCCATTGAACTCATTGTGTCTCTCATAATTCTAGATAATTAGTTGCCCTATTAGCGTATTAGTACTACTGGATAGAAAAACACAACCTATTCCTGCTAGGAATAGAATGTTCCCTTTAATCCATGACTTTGAATACTTGCTTATCTAGAGCTTTGCAAAAGAACAGTAAAATAAACCTTCTGTAGAGCACATTAAAAGGTAATAATGATGAATCAATAAACCTCTTGCACACATAATGAACTGGTTGGGAGGAAAACAGATGATGCCAAGCTAGAAGATCCTTTTAACAAAATTAAAATAGTTTAAATAAATACACATAGTCCAGTGAGGAGTGATGACAAGCTGTGCTTTTAACTAGACAGCTGCAAGCAGACTGCTTACCTGTCTGCAAGAAAGTTGCCTAGAGCTCCTGTAAACATCAAACGATTTCCCAGAACCTCCCTGAGCCCAGCAAGGGGACAATGGCTGACAGGCAGCTGAAGGACACTGCAGCTGCCTGCAAGTTATTTTTCTTTACAGAGTGTTGTGAATCTCCAGGGTTATTGTATTGTATTATTAGGAGAAGCAGCTTATTAACTGGAATAAAAAATTGACCCAAATAATTCTCAGTAAGTGATTAGTGCCCTACTTGGACTGAGCTGAAGCGGCAGCAGTTTCAAGGCTAAGTCCTCGTTTATGCCGTAAGTTGCAATTGTCAAAGCAGCAACACTGTGCTAAAAGACTGCAGTAAATCCTAAAATCCCTCTATTTCATCAGGCTTCACTCCGCTCCCAGGGACCTAATTCCCGCTCACTTTCATAAATAGCCAAACTGGGCTGATGCTGCAGCCTGAGAAGCCTCGTGCCTTTCCAGTAGCCGTGTGTCACTCAGGGCAGGAGCACAGCTCTGTCTGGCTCAGGGCACACCACGAGGCTGGCACAGGATCTGCAGCGGGCTGGGAGCAGCCCAGGGGGAAACTGCCCCGTCCTTGCTTTGGTGATGAGTCATCCTGCCAGGTTATGTCACCCTGTCTCCTCACACCACCCCAAAGCAGCTGCCCAGACACGCTGTGCCATTGCCTGGGCCCCTTCTGTCCTTCTGTGCTCTCCAGCTCTGCTCCCACAGGGCGATGCCAACCTGCCCCCTGAAAACTCCTGGGACCCAGCTGCACTCCCAGCAACCCGCCTGCACTCTGGGAGAGGTTACATGCTGCAGGGGCTGGCATACAGTGGGATTAATTCCCAACAACATCACAGCCCTACTTCTGATTCTTTGGAATACTCAAGACTGGTTTTTTCCTTACCCCTGGATGTAAGGTCTGTGCTTTCTCCTGTCCCCAGCTGATCTCTCTAATATGGTTTTGGGACCCGCTGCTACTCACGGCATACCCACTTTCATCTAAGCACTAGCTGATCATTCCTGCCCAAGAACATCATGGTTGTGAATCTCAGATGCTCCTCAACAGAAATTCTCCAGCAGGGCTGTCTTCTGTTTGTCATTACTTCATTAGTCATTCCACTTTCCATGGTCCAGGATGTGAAGGAACTCATGTCTGCCTGCAGTTTCACTGAGGCACAGCTGTCAGCAGCCTGCCTTTCCCTGGGATGTGAGGAATGTGCAAAGCAGAGTTACCTCAAAAACTTTTAGGGAGCTTCCCCTGATATTTCTCCCCACTGTGAGCACAAAGGAGATCAGGTATATCTGTGCTTACGGCCCCAGGGCTGAGGGCTGCTGTCAAGCAATGGAGGCAGCTGTTAATACACCGGTGATTATGTATAGGCTGCCTTCACAATGAGATGAAATATAGGCAATGAACTTTTTCCCCCTCCCCTTCCCTGTATCATAGCAACTGTGCTACTGCAAGGGCTATTTTAAGAACAGTAACTTTTCACCAAACGTGATTATGAGGCAGATTGAGTGAGCTCAGTGTGCGAAAATACTGCATCCCTTCCACAGCATCTTTGGGCCAAAAGCTGATACCCTCACCCAAAAGCACAAGAAATTACTCTGCAGATTGTCCAGATAGCATTAAAAAGGTGTAGCTGTAGATGCTTGCTATTTAAAATCAATGTTCAAGAAAACATAGCCCTGTCAGGAGCTTCCAGAAAGGAGTGTCCAGGGCTGAGAAATACAAGCTGGGAGGTGAGGGGTGGACAGCAGGCATGTCCATCAGCATGGAACACTGCCCAGGGTGGGAAGTAATTGCTTTCTGTGGTTTGCAACAGTGATGTACATCTTGTAGATTCTGAGAGAGTAAAAGGATAGTTTGTATTCCAAGGACTCTTGCCTGAATAGGAGAAGAGTAGAAAAGCTTCAGTCATCAAGCCTTGTACAGCTGCAGGGATCACTGGCACAAAAATCTCTCAGAGTAAGCAAAGGGAGCAGTTTCTAGGTCTGCATGAAGAGGGATTTGAATTTCTGATCAGCTCAATCACACAGGACACGCTTTTCAAAGCTGAGAAACTAAAAGTGCGCTCAAAACCTACAGCTTGGTAGGGAATACTCCTTGGGCAAGGCTCTGGCATTGCTGCTGGGGCAGCTGGATGGCAGCATGTTGTGAGCCTGACACAGCTCACACATGTCAGACCAACCTGGGAATGTGCTGCACCAGGAGCTCTGCTCATGCAAGGAATTGCCTTCTCCCAGAGACCTCTGGTTGCCCATGATTTTGCTCATCTCCCACATGGCAGGTGCTTCCAGAGGCCAGTGGCCACTTGCTGGGGCTGCTGGGTGCCCACAGAAACAGGTGCCCATTGAGAAAACTGAGTGGGTTTTAGTATCCAGATGGGCTGGTGTCCACAGGGTTTGCATTGCAGATGGTGAACGCTGCCAGAGATCAGGTGCTGCTCTAAGAGCAGCCTCAGTCCCCTGAGCACAGCAGCTTTGGGACCCACTCCTCTCAAGAGGAGAGCAGGGAGTGTCAGCTTTCTCTGCTCGTGGTTTAGTTAAGATGAAATGATTTGTTGTTTTAGATACCGAAGGCAAAGCCTGCACTGGTGAGGATGCCACGAGAGTGACACAGGGTGACCCTCCAGCCCCTGTGTGCCAGGCACTGGCTCCAGAAGAGGACCAGCAAGAGAGTCCAACAGCAGCCACAACTGATGTGACCTCCTTTGGTGAGGAGCTGCATTTGGAGGAGCTGAAAGAAGATGCAGGTATTGGATATAGAATGTTTTTAAAACAACTGTAAAATTTTATGAAAGTACTTCTGCCAAACTGTTTTGTGAGGAGTCAAATATGCCAGTGCTTTAAAGGGTCAGAGCACCTTGTTCAGCTCAGCCCATTCTAGGTTAGCAATTGGTATTTAAAAACAGTGATTTTTGAGACTTCTACCAAACTCAGGGACAACCCAAAGCTTGGTGTGATGGGATTAGTTGGATTATGAGGCGATCCAGTCCTGGCATGGTGCCCCGTTGGTATTAGCAGTGGCTGCTGTGAAGATGAAACAAGCTTCCCTTAAAAACATTTCTTAAACTTCTATGCCAAGGCTGAAATTGTTTGTCCTGGCTTGGGAGAACAATGTCAATACACAGCCCACAGAGCCCATATCATCACCCTGGCACAACATGCTGCAAATCCAAGTGAAGTTCAATACCAGGAGCACAGATAAGCTAAACCAAGCTCCTTTCATGCAATTCTGCTCTGGCAGAGCTTATCCATGACAGCAGTTCCTTGGGACTAGAGCAGCCTGGCACAACCCAGCAGTTGGAGGGTTTCTATTCACTTCCTGAGAACCAAGAATTGCAAAGCTGCAGAGATAATGCTTTATCCTGGTTTGTGCCACTCCTGTCATGGAGTGATTATGGATCTTCCTGGCCTCTGGTCAATCTTTACCCTTCTCCATCTGCCCTGGCTGCCCTTTGTTCTCTGTCCCACCCCTCATGCCCTGCTTTCCCTGGGGTCCAGCCCCTGGCAGCTTTCAAGCATGTCCATGCCTTCAGACCTACCCAAACGTGCTGCTGATACCAGAAACAACCACAAATTAACCTGGAAGTGAAGAGTTCTTTGCAGGGAATGTAAAGTGGACATTCTTTAGCCATCAGCACACAGTGGTAGTTTGCTTCAGGATTGTCAGAACAGGATGGAGTTCAGAACCAAAGAAGTCTGTCTGACTGAGGCTGAGTGTGTGTCAGATCCACCTTCTCTACAGCAAAGGTCCCACTGTGGCTGCTCCTCATCACCTGTGCCAGGCAGCACCTCATGTCCCAGGGAGATCCACTGATTTCAGGGAAGTTAATGCCAAAGACAGCATTGCTCCACTCAGGGGAATGCACTCCAATCTCACTAATTTTCCCATCAAGCTCCCAACATCTACGGGGGCTCTTGATCTTTCTGTGATGTAACCCATTAGTGACTTTTTTTCTTCTCTTCCTCTATTCCACATTTTGTCTTCTACGCAGTGGCATGAACACACAAGGTGATGTCAGCCAGGAACAAGGCATTTCCCTAGAAGTACATTTAAAAGAAAATGATTTCCTTCTATAATTCACACAATTACCACATATGGCAGCTTTCTTATCAAGCCAAATTTCACAAGAATTCCTGTTAACGATGCGTATTTATTCTACTTTCCTGTCTTTTTTGAGCGATAAATACTCATTCCTCCTCCTCTAGGCACACTCATTAATCTGTTTGTCAACAAATTAAATGCTATTATCTTGCCAGTGCTATTGTTTCCAAGTGCCTAAGTGCTTTGGTGCCTCCCCACGCACTCTGAGCATGAGGCTGCTGAATGTTCATTAATACAGAGAGTTTGTGTTCCCAACGAGACAGAAAACTGAGCCAAGAAGAGATTTGTGATGCTGCAGCTGTGGGTGCTCTGGGTGCCCGCTGAAGTAAGATGTTAGGAGATGCCATGGAATGGTTTGGAGGGAAAGGTGCTCTGTTTGGACAAGCCAGAATGCTAAAAGGAGTGGGATTTGCCAAGTAGTTTGGACCTCTCTCATGCTCTGCTTTTGTGAGAGCCCACTTGGAGTACTGCATCCAGCTCTGGAGTCCTCAGCACAGGCAAGGCATGGACCTGTTGGAGCAGGGCCACAAAACAGATCAGAGGGATGGAACACCTCTCCTGTAAAGACAATGAGAGAGCTGGAGTCATCCAGCACGGAGAAGAGAAGGCTGCAGGGAGATACTTCAGTACTTAAAGGGGGCTTATAAGAAAGATAGGGGCAAACTTTTTAACAGGACCTGTTAACAAGGAAAAGGGGTAGTGTTTTTAAACTAAAAGAAGGTAGATTCAGACTAGACAGAAGGAAGAAATTTTTTTCCAATGAGGGTGATAAAATGCTGGAACAGAATGCCTAGAGAGGTGGGAGATGCCTCATCCCTGGAAACACTCAAGGTCAGATTGGACAGAGCTCTGAGCAACTTGATCTTGTTGAAGATGTCCCTGCTCATTGAAGGGGAGGTTGGAGTCCCTTCTAGGCCCCTTCCAACTCAGAATGTTCTGTGATTCTGTGCTAAGCAGAGTCTTACACTGATCTCCCCCAGTGCTTCACCTGCCAGGGTAGGAACAATAACCCTCATGTTACTACTGAGCACGTCATGGCTGGAAATGCAGTTTGGAGAGAGCCTGGCCATGGCTGGAGCCTGGCTCAGACTCAGCCTTGAGCCTCTGTGGGGGTCCCCACATATGCCAAGGCAGAGCTCAGGCCGTGTAACAGAGTGTGAAATCCAGCAGTGAGGCGCTGTGGGAGTTTAAGCATTGCCAGAGCCAGTTGGTATCTGAGCAGAATTCAAGGATGCTAATTTTGGACTGAAATTCCACCTATGTCCTGCTTCAGCTTCATGCCTTTCTGGATGTATTCCCCTGTGCCCTCATCACAGCCTGGTCAATTTGATGAATTGCTCAGTGATTCAGCCTGCACTAACTTTAAGTGCTTTTGCCATCTTTATGGAGACAATCCTGAAATGAGCACTGCTTCACCATCTCAAATTAAGGCTTTGCAGATTCAATTTTTTTCTCTCAAGTACTTCACCAATTCCCTGTTCCACTTGCTGCTGAGATCCAAGGGCAAATCTCTTTTATGGCAGGTTCTTTTTGGTTATCAACATTAACCTCAGGAAACACTCAACAGTTCTGGAGTCAGGTACAGTAAAAGAAGACTTGGGAAGCAAGCTGAAGTCATGTATTAAAGAAGATAAAAATTAAATTGTGAAAATAAACACGTCCATCAAACTATTGGAAATTCAGCTTTTATGAACTATTATTGGTTTGGTACTCTTTGCCCTTTGGCTGTGTGTTCCTAGCACAGAAGGTACTCACTCAGGAACTGCCACCGCAGCTGTGCTGTAGGAAAATTCCTTACAGTTCTCAAAAGCTGCTTTGCCTTGCTACCTTCATTATTAAAATAAAAAAGTAGAGGGGAAAAGGCTTTAGGGAAGTAAGGGAAGCTCAGTAGTTTTTTTCAGAAATATCAAAACTAACACTTCAATATCCTCATACATTTTATTCTTCTCCTACCTTGTCTGGTTGGCTATTTAACACAATAATTACTTTCACTAAGGAAAAGAACTGCTTCAGTTGTGTGCCATGTGTTCTGTTTTTCTGAATGTTCCTGGCATTGTCCCCTGGCCTATCATTATTAACTTCATGTTCCATTAATTTTACTCATCTTCCTCCTAGCCAAGAAACCTTCAGCACCCACGGAAGAATCAGAAGATGCCAGCCTGCCAGCATCTGAAGACAGTCCACAAGCCTTACTTGTACCTGAATCCACAGATTCCCCCCAGAAACAGATGGAAAGAAACCCAGCACAGCTTCCCAGCCCTCCATTGCTCCCAGCTCCACCACCTAAGGCAATCTCCAAAATCACAAAGAGCATCACAGGTCAGTCATTGCTGCTCAGGAAGCACTTTCCCATCCCTTGTGTGCTGTTCACCTGCACAGCACAGTATCTAATTCTTTTCTCAGGGCCATTTTGCCCCAAAGTGCTATAAATCAGGCCAGTTACACTGAGTGAACAGAACACCAATGATTCCATGTCCAGTTGCCTGATAACAACCCCCTGATCTTTGTATCACGTATTTATCTGAGTCTCTCTGGGCATTACCTGTTGTGTGTCCATTGGACTAAACACATATAAAACAAACCAAACCAAAGCAACTGCAATCATCTGCTGAATCACATGCTCATATTGATATGCCATAAAACACGGGGAAGATTTAAATATTTTCATTACCTACACTCCCACTGGGCAGCAGAACAACAGCCAAGATCGAGCTCAAGTGAAAGGTTCTGCAGAGGTTTCTGTCTGAAGGGTTTGCTCTCTAGGGTGGGCCTAAACCAGAGCTATGAATTCTGGTCTAGTTAACAGAGCACACAGGAGTGATACACCTGGCTCCCACAAATCAATCCTCTGTGCCAGACTCCATTGAACATTCCAAAAGCAATTCCTCTGGGCCTGATTTTCTTATGTATTGCCAATGTTGTTACGTTTTCCAACATTCTGGCGCTGCAGAAAGGGTGTTAAAATGAATATGATTTTAGTTGGTTCCAATTTTAGGACCCCTACATATGGTAAAAGCAGTTAAAAGGGCCTTATTGCAAATTAAACTCAAGTCCTGTCATCTAAATGTCAGACCTGTTGGATATTTAGACTTTGAAATGACAGCCATTATCCCAGCTCTGATTTGCATCCACACTCATCTGCTGGCACAATGAATAGGGTTTTCAGTGTCACCAGGAAACCAAACACCAGAGGGGCACTGTGACCTGACCACTGGGGCTCCCAGAAAATACTGAGCTCTTCAGTCTCTTTGAAGAGAATTACAAGTGTTTGTTTGCTATGGAAATTATCCATACTTTGTCCATGCTTAAAAGCTGTAAGAATTTAAGTGGGAGCTGGATTCAAAATGGTATCTTAGTGCTCCTTGGGAGCTGCTGTTCAGGTTGCTTCACATTTCTGTGTTTTTGGTCAGGCTGAAGCCTGTCCCTTCCACCCTGCAAGATGAACAGGCAGACTCAGGCCCTCCTGTGACTTTGCTCAGCTGAGGAGAAGGCCGTGCTTGGCATCAGGTGGATTTGGGAACCTGTCCTGGAGGGTAGTGAGATTACACCTCCACCAGGCACTTGACAGCATTTCGAGTTGAGATATTTTGCTGCAAAGTATTTCTTGTAGCATCCAAAATATTCTGAGTTTTGGTGTTTCATTCTCATTTATGTTTTCCACAAGGAACAACTTTTAATTTTCTCAATGACTCCAATAACTGTAGACCCTTTTTCAGTAGTGATTATACATGTTTTATTTTTGTGGGGATGTGGAGGCAGTGCTAAGTTAAAATTAAACAAATACCGTCAGTGAGTGAAAGGGAAGACAAAAGTGTAGGGAGAAAGGTTATGATTATGAAAGAAAAGGAAGATGAAGAGGTTGAAAAGCTCTTTTGTGTTTAGTTTTTTCCCTTTTAACAATGTTAGGGTTGCTGTTAGCAGAGGAGTAAGTCAAGAACCAATTAATCAGAGAGAGGAGGGACAGGGCAAGGTGCCAAGACATCACTTTGCAAGATTATTCTCTGAACAGCTGTCATTAGGACAAATAAAGTGTGATGTAAGGAAACTCTCAATATTGTCCTAAGGTGCCATGAGGATGAGATAGGCCCTTGACCTGTTCCAGGAACAGGCTGGTATAAAGACAAAACAAGGTCTCCTCCCTTCCTGCTCTAGGGTTGAACTGAACCCCTTGCTCTGAGGGACACCCCCTTTCACTGTGCAGCAGGATAAAGTGACTCAGGAGCTGGTTTTGTTCACCTCCTCAGGCCTTGATTGATCATAAATGTCCCCTGTGCATCCCCACAGTAGCTCATCACCAAAATGCCCCTGAGTACCCAAAACCACCTTTCCTCAGCAGAGCTTGGCTGTCTCCTGGCCGTGACAACCACCCTGATCAGTGCAGGAGGAGCTCCGGGGTGGGAAGTGCCTCATTGCCAAGACATTGCACAGACAGTTACAGAAATGCCCCTGTGCTTTCAGACTTTTTGGTAACAGGTAACTTTTGGCCTGCCTTGAACCCTGTCTCCTGTATGCACGGAGACAAATGAAGCTCTGGATGTTGGTTGGGGTTCTGCACTGGAGGGACAGAAATGTGCAAAAACACCCTCCAGAAAGGAAAAAAATGTTAGAGCTTTCTTAGAGCAAGAGAGATTTTACTGTGGATGCAACTGTCCTCACCGAGGGATGCTCTCCTCCTCACCCCACACAGGTGAAAAAGAGACCAGCCTTAGCCTTGTCACTCTCAAATTTTCAGTGTTTGACTACAAGAGCTGTTCTTCCTCCTTGTGCTGTTTATAAGGAAATATTTAATAACTGAAATTAATATTCAAACCTAACTTCTCCCTCTATAGTTTTCTAGTAGGTTCCCTGCTAATAAGAGCCAAGTCCTGTTTTCAATGGCTATTTCAGAATAATCCTGGCCTGAGCAGAGGTTTTGCCCAGCTAGGAATTGAAGGATTTATCTCAAAATGAAGTGCAAAAAAGTAAAGGTTGCCTGTGAAAACAAGTTAGTACAAAAGCCGTACAAGCTGCGTCAGTTTAAATTCCTGTTTAAGGCACTAGGTGGCAACAAGAGACAAGAAATACTCTCGGACGAGGGTCTCACACTGCTTTTTACACCCAGCTGAGCTGCTGGTGTAAACAACGCCGTGTACCACGGGCTTGGGACACAGATATAAGGGAAAGGGGAAAGGGAAAGAGAACTGCAGACCAGAAAAACTAATCAGCATCTTTTTCAGGCCAAATGTTCAATTGTCCTAAGGGTGTGAAACTACCAAATTTACAACCAGTGAAATGTCCACTGGGACAGAGAAATGTTTAGATCAGAGTCTAAATTTCAACAAAATGCTTACATTGCATAGAAAACAGCTGAATCTGGGGGTAAAAAGAGATTAGATTTTCCCACCCTTCTTTTTTGTTGTTAGTGCTCAATAGCACATCTTTCATTTGGATGTTATTTTGTTATGCAAACATTATGCTCATATTATGATGACTTTGGCATTTTCTCCACTGGCATATGAAAGGCAGAGGTCTGAGCTATGCAGCAATCACAGAGGAGCAGATAATAGACACTGGGACATTCTGTCCAGACTGAGAACCACAGTGCATAAATTTTAATACAGTCTGCCAGAGTTCAGCAGAGAAAGTGCTGGATTGGAAAGCCACCACAGTCCAAGCCATTGGTGGTTAGGATCAAGGGGGAATCAAGAATGCCTTGGTGGGCCGGGAAAAAGGAGAATCTGATCCTGTGAGAAACAGGGGAAATGGGGAGGTATTTATTTTGCTAGTTCAAAGATAGGGATTCGTGTAGCAAGAGCCTTCTGAACTCGAATAGTTTCTCAGCCTGAGCAGTTACCTCATAGCAAGAGCAAATCACCACCGTTTTCCTCTGTTCAACACGACAAATTCATTTCAGTGCAGAGTCTGTGTGCAAAAAACCAAAAGCATTTTTCAACTTCTTGCCCTCTCGTGTTTTGACTGCAGGAAGTGAAGGTGATGACCCAGCCATGAAATCTCCTCCTTCCACCATCCTGAAGAATTATGTCATTGTTGGTTCCTCCCAAATCTCAGGACAAGCTGCCCTCTTCCACCCCTCTGGCCAGAAAAGCTCAGACCCCCTTGGCAGGGGCCAGGTGACGACACCAACGGGTTCCCCCCACCTGGCTGCCGTTCACCTGCCTCTGCCTCCCAGCAGAGTGATCGAGGAGCTGCACAGGGCTCTGGCCACCAAACACCGCCAGGACAGGTACCCACAGCCTCGTGGCCACAGGGGGGCATGAGGACAGTCACTGCATGACATCATTTCGCCTGGGACGTGATCCTAGCCTGTTATTGGTGTTTTCAGTGCTCCTGCAGCTTGGGTTTGCCTTCCCTCCTATGGCACTACTTGGAACATCCATCCCTGGTTTAAGTGCTTGATTTGGCAGTTACTTCACAGTGTGCTCTTGCTTTATAAGGAGGCTACTGTGGCATGGAAGTAGGTTTTCAAACAGATAGAATCATGTGATAATCCTTGACCCATTGCAAAGGAAAATCTCCCCACAAGACACCAAGTCAGAGTAGTGAAGGCACATCCTGCTCTAAGTCCCAGCACCCCACACATGAGGAGTGCTGCTGTTCCAGGCTGTGTCTCTTGGCTTACATGGCAGCACATACAATATCCATTTGTAACACAAATGCTTTTGTGGGAGTACACTGGGTACTTTATCTGGCTTTCATTATAAGCTCTCCTGTATATTAGAGGAGGAAAGAGATAACCTTTTCCTCCTCGAGCTTCGGAATTAAGTTGGTATAATTTCTTATTTCCATAGCGGCTGTTGCCATGGGGAACAGACTCATACAACATTATTTCCAGGTCCTGTCGAACCTTTGTCACAATCATAAAATATCAGAGTGGTAATATTTCATGCCAGGTATGTTTTACATTAGAAGGACGTGCTGTTGTGGATTTTTTAGTCACAGTATATCTTGTGACTATATACAAAAGAAAAACATCAGTCACCAGTCACCAACCTTCCATATCTTATTTTAGTGGCAGAGACAGCAAAGCAGATCCACATTACCCATGCTCAGCACAGTCTTGAGAATGCCATCCTGTGTTGGCCTGTGCTGAACTCCCTGCCCTGCCCTTTACGAGCTACAGGACATTCCGCTCATTCACATATAACGATAAGTTTCTGCTGTGGCAGTAAAACAGTCTTTGTGAAATCTGGGCTGTGCATCTTCCACCCACAGCTTCCATGGAAGAGAAAGCAAAGGCTCTCCAAAAAAAAGAGTGGATGTGCGTCCATCCAGAACATCCAGCATGGAGCGCAACAAGGAGAAGGAGAACTCCCTGAGTTACAGCAGCGACTCAGAAAACAAGAGGAACTCAGTTAAAGAGTCAGATGAGAACAAAGAAAACATGATCATGAACTCAGAGCTCAAGGAAGACTCTGTTTTTTATCAGGATGAGGAAGTTTTGAATGACTCCATTATTTCTGGTAAGGAAAGTCACTTCTATTCTAAAGGTACACTACCAGAGCCTAACAGAGTGCTCTAAACAAGGCAGCAAGGAACAGAAAGTACAGAGAAGTGTCAGTTCCTCTATTGTCACAGCAGCTGTTTAAAGGAATCTTGGTGAGAAGCTAAAGTTAGATTTCAGTCATAATGATTGTGATCGTGTTTGTCTTGCCAGGTACTGCACACTAAGCTGATGTTGAGGGTTGTGCTGGTAAGACATCAGTGTGCTTTACTCGGTGCAAGCTGGGCCATTCCCAAGGCATTCCCGGGCTGGACACAGTGTGCTTTACTCTCAGTTCCTCGGTGCAAGCTGGGCCATTCCCAAGGCATTCCCGGGCTGGACACTGGGCGGCACTGCTGGTGCCAGCATTCACTCAAACGCAGCCTGTGCGTTTCTGAGAGGAGGGAGAGGTGCAGCAGTGACAGGGACAGCGCCAGAACGACTCCCTAACAATCTCCAGATTCCTTCTAGTTTGAAAAAATCTGGGTTGGTTTCCAAGTCAGGGAGTAAAACTATCCATTAATCCAGAGCTGTTTGCAGTCAGGGCACTGCCTTAACATGTCACCCGCTCTCTGCCACTGCCACCAGAGGCAGAGCAGCAGTGCCACAGCCCCCTGCCTACAGAAGATTGGTACAGACAGGTGAGGAATCTTACCTTGGCTTTCCATCACCATCCTACTCAATAAATCATTATTTGAAACATCTAAAAACACAAGGCAAGACAGTCTAGTACGTGAGCTTAAATATCAATGTAACTATAATTTAGTCCACAACTGATAATTGGTGTAATCAAGGTCCTTGCAGCATCATGTAGTGTTAGGATTTGTTTTTTACTTGATAGAAAGAACAGCAAGTATGATAGAAAGGACAGTACAGATACAGGAAATTGAATGTCATGATTCAACTGAATTAAAACAGGAACTTTTCTCAGGAACCTGCAGCCCAAACATGAAAAGGGTGTGAATTGCCCAAACATTCCTTGTTGACCTGGCTGAGCTGCCATAAATCAGGAAACAAGCCAAGATCCTGGCTGAGATAGCTTGGTCATGGGGCAGACTGGCATTGAACCTGCATGACTGCCCAGGAAAAATAACCCTTAGGAAAAAAATACTTAAATGAGGGTATTTGCAGGTTCACTTTCTACTGAGATAGGTATCAGGAAGGAGTTTGCCTCAGGATGCTAAAAATGGATGTGGGGAAAACTAGTTTGGGGCTTTATTTTCTTTTTATTCTCTGGTTTAGTTTTATTTATTTGTTTATTCTGAAACATCAGCTCTGGGTTTCTGCAGTGGGTGGAATAACAGACCTGGCCTGGTCAAGTGGGTTGGTCAGGATGAAAGCACATGAATGGCAGTTTTGGAGCATGTGTTCCTGAAGGGGGGAACATCATCTGCCTCTTTCCACTTTCTTGGGCAGGCATTATTTTTCAGGAATTAACCCAATTGGTCAGGCAGTGGGAATGGCTCCTCAGACTGGCAGATCAGCCTGATCCAGATCTCTTGCATTTTTATTTGGTGAAACACTCTCCAGATTAATCAGTGCTCGGTGCATTTGGACCATGGGAGTGGCCATGGCATGAGCCTTTCAGAAATGCTGACATCTGGATGGAGGGAGCACAGCTTATCCTGAGTGGGTTATATGCTCTCTACCATTCAAATAGGACAGCAGGATTTGGGTTAAACTTGAGATTTTTCAGATATGATTTGTGTTTTTAATTTCCCAAAGTAGTAGGCTCTCTCTTAGAGTGCAACAGAGCAGCCTGGGAACAGTCAAACCTGAAAACATGTTCAGGGATACCCAGGAGTTTTCCAAATGTCCTTCCGAAGGAGTTCTGGTGGTCCCTGTGCACTGCAAACGCCCACTCTGCACCCACTCCCAGGGAGGCTGAGGCTTGAAAACCTTGACAGAGTTTCAAGTCTGTGGCTTTGTGAGCCAAATGTTTCTGATGGAGTCAGAGTTCAGTCAGCAGAAGGCTCTGCATGGCATCAGCCAAATCATTTAACTTCTTTACCCATCTGTTAAATGTATAAGTACCACTTCAGAGAGGGCTGTGTGGTTTAATTTAATTAATGTTTCCAACAGACTTTGAAAGCATTCAAAGGAAGGTGCTAAACAAGGGCACAGCTTTTAGACTCTAAAAGGGGGTTTGAGCTCATTATGGTTTCTAAAAAGTTTAGTTTGAAATCAATGCAACTATCAAGAGACTTGTTGCTGCTCACACAGGGAGACCGTAACTACTGTGCCCCACCTTCCCAAGAGGTATGTGTGGGAAGGAGTATAAACTCCTCCCCTCTGCATAAAGAAATTCGAGATCAGTATGATAATAACAATATCCCTAGCAAACAAACCCCCAGTATTTGGGAAGGAGGATCTGTTTAGGATTTAGAATCTTGCCGACCTCCAGAGCACCCTTTAAAAATAGACTTTAATCCTATCTCAAATGCCAAACAAAAATACCAATTAAATGTCATTTTCTTTAAAAAGGAGGTGACCTTTTGTAAAAAAGGTGAAACATTAAATTAAAAAAAAAAAAGCCCTTTAAAGTTAAAAGGGACCAAAACAAATTAACCTCCTGTTACACCCTAAGCTCCCAAGATGAAGCAAATATAAAGACTTAACTGTAGGTCCTGACAATGCACCAAACCCTGTGTGACTGATGCTGCTCTGCAGGGACAATGTCCACACTGCTGAAGCCCTGGACAGCACAGCAGCAGAGGTGAGGAGGGGTCTGGTGTAAATTTTCTTGCCTACAACCCACCTGAGACACAATTGTTGAAGGACTGCAGCCCTACCAGTACAACCCAGCAGCTCACTGGTTTTAATAGCACTTCCCTCTTCTTTTGTCCCCATCACAAACAAGCTCCCCCTCATCAAACATGGGCATCAGCCCACACTTCCAGGGTGCATTTGCAAATACAGCTGGCTTTCTACTTCACAGAGCCTTCCGAACACATGGCAGAATGGCTTTATAAGCTCAGGAGGGAAATTTTCATTTCTTAAGCCTTCTGAAGACTAAAGAGTTACACCAGAGAGACAAACACCTACACTCAAACACAGTTCCCTCTAATGAGAGTGAAAGGAGAGTGAAAGGGTGTTTTAATGTCGTCAGAGGACTCAACACTCAGCACGCTCTACTCAAAACAGTTGCTGTATGTTCTGCTACCAACAGTTCCTTTGTAATGGCAATGTTTAGGTTGTCTGGTTTGATGGAAACAGTGTCTCATATTTTTACAATAAGCACAACAGATCATGGAATCACAGTAAGTATTTGTGTCTCTTATTGCCCAAATATCCAATTAAGTTGCCACCATTCTGCAAATCATCATAAAAAATGGTCTTTTTTTTCATTCCTTGGAACATTTGCCCCTGCTGTCTTCAGAGGGAAAGGTCTGATGTCAATAGGGTAGTATTGACTGCTAAATGAAATCCTGTTGTGACACACTGTCACACTGGACAGGACGAAGATGTACACAGTGGTTGACTTTTAGTGCTGCAGTTACACACAGTATCTGATCACAGTTCATATTTTCTAATTTCTGATGTCAGAAAACCAGAATGACGTTTAACATATGTGTATATTATATACATTATACATATACACACAGACATGCCAAGCAACAACTTCCACTGTTTCAGTCACCAATATCTATTCCTGGCTATACTGGTGACTCAAAGAGGAAAATGTACATGTCCCAGTCACTCCTGCCACGGAGCAATCCAGTCCTTTTGCAAAGGAACAACTCTGTGGTTCAGAAAAGAGGGATTGCTCAGGGTTACAGAGATGGTCAGAGGACTGTGTCAAAATGCAGAGTCTTTGACTTCTGAACTAGTGACATGAATCACATCTCAGCTGCAAATAATTTTCACTGGAGAGCTCTGCCTGGTTATCATGGATAACAAAGATAACAGAGGAATATGATCCTTCTGCATTTGTAGGGTGATGTGTCTGAGCCCTGCTCAGCTGTAGTGCTCCTTACTTACATTAGTGTGTACAACTGCTCCTTGCACACTGACGTACACAACACTGTCACTCTGATATTCCTGCTCTTCAAATATTCCTGTTTCATTCCCAGGATCTGTCTTTCTAATAACTTTCTTTTCAATGCATGTCCCAGGTACTTTGCCAAGAAAATGCAAGAAAGAACTGCTGGCAGTAAAACTACGGAACAGACCAAGTAAGCAGGAGCTGGAAGACAGGAATATTTTCCCGAGGAGGACAGATGAGGAAAGACAGGAAATCCGGCAGCAAATTGAAATGAAACTCTCAAAGTAAGTGTTGGGAATGAGAACAGGGAGGAACCTCCCTTTGCAAGGGAGTGTCCTCTGAGTCCTGTCGGATGAGACACTGTGACCCACCCCCAAGTCCATGCACAAACTGATACAGCACATTTTCAGCTGTCAATCAGCCACAGGAAAAAAATAAATCTTAACTCTTCAGTCAGGATTGCCTTGATTCCAACAGAAACCAAGACAGAAGTCAGTGTGGGAGACAAAATTCTGCCAAATCTACCTGCAGCCCCGCTGATGTAATCAAGATTTTGAGGTCCTGCTTTAACAAAAAGAGTAATATAATTATTTATTAACCTGGTTTGGCTTTGTCAGCACTAGCTGAATTTGCGGATAAAGGCAATCATTACAGCTACTTGCACAGGGGAAAGCTGCTGTATTGGTGGCTGCATTGGTGCTTTAAGGAAGAGGCAGCATTGCCCTCACCTGGGGAAGGTACCTGTGTCAGTCCAGCTGCAGGCACAGCAGGATGGTCTGGTTTTCATCAGTAACCAGGGCAACAGGGTAGTGCTGTGAGAGAAAAAGCATCACTGTGGCTTGTAGCCTAAAGGAAAGATTTAAGATGACTGTGAGGCTCAGACTGCACCATTTGGTTTGTGTATGTCTGTTTTTTTTGAGAGTTCCATTTGGATATCTGCAAACATGAATATTTTAGATGAGACAAAGTGGATTGTTAAATAATCTGTGCTCTGTCTGCCCACACTGGGACAGTGAGCGCTGCTCACCGCCAAAATGCTTGGAATCAAATTGAGAAACATGAATAGAAGTTCATTTTCAAGGCTTATTAAATATTAAATATCTCAGGCCTCTCCTGAAAGAAACATTTATTGATATTTAGACTAGCTCATTCATGTGTGTGTGCTTTTGATTAAACTTTACCTCAGGGGACAGGGAGTGAGAAGCACACACATGGATCAGAGCACGAGTCCTGAGGGACCAGAGTTTGTGCAGGAAAACATCCCTGCCAGCACCACGCTTGCCCTCAGCTGAGGAACATGCTGTTCAGTGAACAGAGATGAGATTTTGGGTGCCCTTCAGGGTGCCCCTGCCCCTGATGGAGTCACTGCCTTCCTCCAATCTCAGTGATTGCGTGACAGCACTTTGCTCCCAAAGGAAAATGGTGCCTCGTGCCAGTGACTGCACAAGGCAGTGCAGATGCCAGACCCTGTCACAAAAAACATGTCCATCCCATACAAGTAGGAAAGATCCTATTACAATTTGCTTTAAGTTCCAAAAATTACAGGCAGAGCAAATCACAGACGTGTCCCATTAATAACCATCGGAAGGAAAGCATCACGGCCCTGGACCATCTGGATCCTGCAAGCCTGTGTATTCATTGCAGGGGAATATTTAAGCTGCACTGCAATATTGCTAATTCCAGTATTATGGCCAGTCAATTGCTCATAAAATCTCTTCACAGGTCAGGAGCTCAATTTGATTGCTCTAAAATACACAAAAAATGGTTTCTGCCCCAGTGCATCCCTAAAACCAAGTTCACCTGTCACAAAGTATTCACTGAATGAGAAGGTTATGTCACATCCAGCCATATCTCACACTGCTGAAATGCCTAGAAGGTCCCATCTCGTTTCAGTCCAGCCTGACTTCTGTTAGTGTGAAAGGTCTAATGGAATTGCAGCTGCAGGTGGTATAACTACAGGCTTTATCCCTTTCTTTTCATTTATCATTTAGCTTACTTAATGAGCAAGGAATTCCTAAGGAATTCCTTTCAAGGGTTCATGCCTGAAGTCAAATGTCAAGGAATTCAAAAGGAAATTGCTGGACAGGTGAAGGCAAGGGCTGGTCATGACCAGGAAGTGTCTATAGGGGAATGCAGGGAAGGGACCCCCCACGCTGTCTGCTCTGGTTTTGTGGAACAATCTGTGGGTGCAGCCCATTGATCTCATTGGTGATGTCTAGAGGTTGGCTAAAAGCCATCTTTGTTCCAAGTGCTGGAAAACATGCCTTCATTTAGCTCCTTCTTCCAGGAATGTGGAATACTGAGCGCATTTCGGGGAACAGACGGTACAGAGATTGCTGGAATAGCCAGGAATGGCAAAACAGATTGGAAGCCCTCTCCCACACAACTTCCAGCACATATGTGGGCTGGCAGAGCTCAGCTCAGCTCTTAACTCATCCACCAGAATAGACATGAGCATGCAGACAAGCTCAGGTGGTGGATGCATCAGGAAAATATTTACACCAGGAAAAGCAAGTAGGTGTTCAAAAATACCCAACCACCAACCAACCAAGTAAAAATGGGTATTGGTAAAGGCCAGAAAGTCAGAGCATAGAGGTATCCCTCTGGAACTTCTGACTAGGACTCACCCCACAAAACCCAGACCACCCCAGAGCCCCCACTCAGCACAGTCTGGCAGCAGCGTGGAAATGGAACCACGCTGGGAAGAGTGAAATTCTTGGATGAGATTTTGAGGTCTTTACATTCATTCATTTCACTGGTACTTGTGCAGCATAATCTCTGTGACAACTTGGGAGTTTATAGCTAAGGAACTTACTGCTGAGTGCTGAGGTGGGAAGTACAGAGCAGGAAATGGGATCCAGTAGGAATGTCTGCTCTCTGTAGGGTTTTGCCACTACCTGTGCAAGTGAGAGCATGTTCCTGCTGCCATAGTAGTAACACTTGATAACAGCAAATCGTGAATCCACGTGTCCCATCAGGTTATAGACCTGTTCTTTAGCACAAAAAAATAATGTATGGGCAGATAAGTGAGTAGTTATTCAATAGCTGTTGGCATAAGAAGAGCAAGAAAACAAGATCAATATTTTTCAGCACAGTTGTAGGATTTGCTGTCTAGCAAATTGCCTCAGTCCCACAGCTAACACAGCCTAGCTCTGTACTCTGGAGGAAAAGCTGTGCTGACATACCTAATGTGCAAAATACATCAAATAATAGTGTTTATGTAACTTCAGAAGTGGGGAGACAAAAGAATAACATCTTCTCAAAACCACTGTATTTTTAAACGGTTCTGGTTGTAACACATTTCAACAGTAGCTGTGAGCCTGCTGAGAAAATCAACTCTCTGCTATCACTCTGATGAGTGTTTATGAAGTCAAAGCTAAAATCCCTTTTTTTCTTCACTTTCCCACTTATTCCATCTCAAAAGAGAGACTGAGGAGTTCTATCTTTTGAGCCAAATTCTACTTTTACAGCAGTGCAAAATCCACTGACTTCAGTCTTATTGACTGACAGCAGCATGAGGATTCCAGGAGTCATTTATGTGCATTGCTGCTTTTGGAAAGTGTATTTCCTGTATTTCGTGCTCCCAGCCAATTTAATCTACCACTTGTTGCCGTGGAAACATGCACTTCTCCCTGCTCCTCCATCCAAGATGGCAAGATTCCATTTTTTCCCAGATTTCCCTATGCTGTAGTGCTTCTCTTAGTGATTCATGCATCTCCAGTTCCCCAAACCATGGTGCACACTTGCAATATTCTACTGTGCAATAGGCAACAGGGCTCCCAGCAGGTCTTGGTTCCCATTAGTATGTGCTTGGAGTACAGATAATAAGCCCTCGATGGAATTCAGTGAATTTGGAGCTCTTTGTGTCACGAGGCAGAAAAGACATTTGCAAGTACAATTATTTGCAATATCTACTTTCTGTCTGACAGGCTCATGTTGTTCTAGAGGCGGTTTAAGCTGAAACCTGGGGGAGTAAAATAGTTGCCAGACTGAAGAGTGATGCAGGAAAAGATTGCTTAATTAAATTTGATCTCTGACTGTTTAGAAAGTTGATGTTTGAGCTGCCTGGGTCGCTGGCGCTTTTCAAGAATGCCTTATATAACCACAGTTAAAGATGCTCCAGTATTACTTAATATTCAATGAATACATGAATTCCTGGAAAAGATTATACTTCATGTTCTCTTTCACCTCCTTGGGTATTTGCATAAGTAGACATGATGTGTTAAGTGGCACTTCAGAGATTATGGAAACAGGAATTCACATACAGAAATGGGAGGAACGATGGGTTTGTGGACACAGAGCAGAACCAAAACTTGAGCACCTAAAACTGATCTTTACCACATTGAAAATCTTGGCCTGGGTAAGTGGATCATGCTGGGGCAAGGCTTCTTGGCAAAGCAAAGGGAAAAGCAGGTATCTTTATAAAGTACTTCACCGCATCTGGGATCTGTAGTTCTAGTGCTGCCCTGAGGTTCTTGGAGGGGCATTTTCAAGTTGACTTGCCCAGAAACTGCAGCTGTAGCTAAAAGCACACTCAGATTAGAGCCTGGTTTGTACCTCAGCCTCAGGTAACAGAGTGTGAAGTTTGCAGTGCTGCTTGAGACAGAACAATACCAGGCTAAGAGCACTTCAGATTTGCAGCCTAAAATACAGCCTGACAGTTCAGCACAGAGCCATCACAAAGGAAATGTTACCTACTGATGACACAAAAGCTGTCCTGTTTCCCAAGGATGGCACGACCAGTGCCACTTCCTCACAGAAATGTCTCATTGCAGCTTTGCTCACTGAAAAGGCATCAGCCCTCCAGATTGAGAGGTTCAGCAGGAAACTGAATCCCCAGAATTTTGGGGAATATTTTTTTTACTTTGACCAAAAAGGGGGGGGTGTGCCCAAACCACTAGTAGCCCTAAAGAAGAAGTTAAGTAGCTACTAAACTGAGCCCAGTTTAGAGACTCACTTAAATTCACCTGGAGCTTAGCAATGTTTTTTGATGAAACTCCAACTCCCAGTCATTGCACTTAAAATCAGGGAAGTACCCTGATTTCAGAAGGCTGGGAAGACTTGACACAGATTCATTGAAGACAGAAAGGCAAGGGCAGGCACGAAGAACAGCTCAGCTGTCAGCACTAATTAGCTATGTACAGTTTAATGCTTTTCCTTCTCATTTGGCAGCAATGAGCCAGGTAACATCTCCCTGATGCTAAAAATAACCCCAAGCACAGCGTGGGCGGCTGTGCAGCCTCAGCTCCTCACATGAGACACGAGCTATTTATAGAGCCAGTTT